GTATTGGGGTGTATTGGGGTGTATGAGGGTGTATTGGGGTGTATTGGGGTGTATTGGGGTGTAATGGGGTGTATTGGGGTGTATTGGGGTGTATTGGGGGTGTATTGGGGTGTATTGGGGTGTATTGGGGTGTATTGGGGTGTATTGGGGTGTATTGGGGTGTATTGGGGTGTATTGGGGTGTATTGGGGTGTATTGGGGGTGTATTGGGGGTGTATTGGGGTGTATTTGGGGTGTATTGGGGGTGTATTGGGGGTGTATTGGGGTGTATTGGGGTGGAATGGATGTGGAGTGTAATGGGGTCTATGGAGCGCAATGGGGTCTATGGGGTCTATGGGGTTCTATTGCTATGGGGCGCAATGGGGTCTATGGGGTTCTGTGGCTATGGGGGGCAATGGGGTTTATGGGGTTCCCTGGCTATGGGGTGCAATGGGGTCTATGGGGTTCCGTGGCTATGGGGTTCCATGGCTATGGGGCGCAATGGGGTCTATGGGGTTCCGTGGCTATGGGGTTCCATGGCTATGGGGTTCCATGGCTATGGTGTCTATGTGATCTATGGGGTTCCATGGCTATGGGGCGCAATGGGGTCTATGGGGTTCCATGGCTATGGGGCGCAATGGGGTCTATGGGGTTCCATGGCTATGGGGCGCAATGGGGTCTATGGGGTTCCATGGCTATGGGGCTCAATGGGGTCAAAGGGGTTCCATGGCTATGGGGCACAATGGGGTCTATAGGGTTCCATGGCTATGGGGCGCAATGGGGTCAATGGGGTCCATGGGGTTCCATGGCTATGGGGTTCCATGGCTATGGGGTTCCATGGCTATGGGGTGCAATTGGGTCTATGGGGTCTATGGGGTTCCATGGCTATGGGGTGCAATGGGGTCTATGGGATTCCATGGCTATGGGGTCTATGGGGTCTGTGGGGTTCCATGGCTATGGGGTTCCATGGCTATGGGGCACAATGGGGTCTATGGTGTTCCATGGCTATGGGGCGCAATGGGGTGTATGGAGAGCAATGGGGTCTATGGGGTTCCGTGGCTATGGGGCGCAATGGGGTCTATGGGGTTCCATGGCTATGGGGCGCAATGGGGTCTATGGAGAGCAATGGGGTCTATGGGGTTCCATGGCTATGGGGCACAATGGGGTCTGCGGAGAGCAATGGGGTCTATGAGGTGCAATGAGCGTCTATGGGGTTCTATGACTATGGGGTGCAATGGGGTCTATGGGGTGCAGTGGGGTCTATGGGATCTGGGGTTCCATGGCTATGGGGCGCAATGGGGTCTTTGGGCTCCATGGGTATGGGGCGCAATGGGGTCTCTGGGGTTCCCTGGCTATGGGGCGCAATGGAGTCTATGGTGTTCCATGGCTATGGGGCGCAATGGGGTCTGTGGGTTCCATGGCTATGGGGCGCAATGGGGTCTATGGGGTTCCATGGCTATGGGGCGCAATGGGGTCTATGGAGTTCCATGGCTATGGGGTGCAATGGGGTCTATGGGGTTCCATGGCTATGGGGCGCAATGGGGTCTATGGGGTTCCATGTCTATGGGGCGCAATGGGGTCTATGGGGTTCCATGGCTATGGGGTGCAATGGGGTCTATGCGGTTCCATGGCAATGAGGTCTATGGGGTTCCCTGGCTATGGGGCGCAGTGGAGTCTGTGGGGTTCCTTGGCTATGGGGTGCAATGGGGTCTATGGGGTTCCATTGCAATGGGGTCTATGGGGTTCCGTGGCTATGGGGCGCAATGGGGTCTATGGGGTTCCATGGCTATGGGGCGCAATGGGGTCTATGCGGTTCCATGGCTATGGGGTGCAATGAGGTCTATGGGGTTCCATGGCTATGGGGCGCAATGGGGTCTATGGGGTTCCATGGCTATGGGGTGCAATGAGGTCTATGGGGTTCCATGGCTATGGGGTGCAATGGGGTCTATGGGGTTCCATGGCTATGGGGTGCAATGAGGTCTATGGGGTTCCATGGCTATGGGGTGCAATGGGGTCTATGGGGTTCCGTGGCTATGGGGCGCAATGGGGTCTATGCGGTTCCATGGCTATGGGGTGCTATGAGGTCTATGGGGTTCCATGGCTATGGGGTGCAATGAGGTCTATGGAGAGCAATGGCCTCTATGGGGTTCTATGGCTATGGGGCTCAATGGTTCTGTGGGTTCCATGGCTATGGGGCGCAATGGGGTCTATGGGGTTCCGTGGCTATGGGGCGCAATGCGGTCTATGGGGCGCAATGGGGTCTATGGAGTGCAGTGGGGTCTATGGAGCGCAATGGGGTCTATGGGGTGCAATGAGGTCTATGGAGAGCAATGGCGTCTATGGGGTTCTATGGCTATGGGGTGCAGTGGGGTCTATGGGGTTCCATGGCTATGGGGTTCCGTGGCTATGGGGTTCCGTGGCTATGGGGCGCAATGGGGTCTATGGGGTTCCGTGGCTATGGGGTGCAGTGGGGTCTCTGGGGTTCCATGGCTATGGGGTCTATGGGGTTCCATGGCTATGGGGTGCAATGGGGTCTGTGGGGTTTTGTGGCTATGGGGTGCAATGGGGTCTATGGGATTCCATGGCTATGGGGTTCCATGGCTATGGTGTCTATGTGATCTATGGGGTTCCATGGCTATGGGGCTCAGTGGGGTCAAAGGGGTTCCATGGCTATGGGGCGCAATGGGGTCTATGGGGTTCCATGGCTATGGGGCGCAATGGGGTCTATGGGGTTCCCTGGCTATGGGGTGCAATGGGGTGTATGCAGAGCAATGGGGTCTATGGGGTCTATGGGGTTCTATGGCTATGGGTCGCAATGGGGTCTATGGGGTTCCTTGGCTATGGGGCGCAATGGGGTCTATGGGGTTCCATGGCTATGGGGCGCAATGGGGTCTATGGAGAGCAATGGCGTCTATGGGGTTCTATGGCTATGGGGCACAATGGGGTCTATGGGGTTCCATGGCTATGGGTTGCAATGGCTATGGGGCGCAATGGGGTCTATGGAGAGCAATGGGGTCTATGGGGTTCCATGGCTATGGGGTGCAATGGGGTCTATGGGGCGCAATGGGGTCTATGGGGTTCCATGGCTATGGGGTTCCATGGCTATGGGGCGCAATGGGGTCTATGGGGTTCCATGGCTATGGGGCGCAATGGGGTCTATGGAGAGCAATGGCGTCTATGGGGTTCTATGGCTATGGGGCACAATGGGGTCTATGGGGTTCCATGGCTATGGGTTGCAATGGGGTCTATGGAGAGCAATGGGGTCTATGGGGTTCCATGGCTATGGGGTTCCATGGCTATGGGGCGCAATGGGGTCTATGGAGAGCAATGGGGTCTATGGGGTTCCATGGCTATGGGGTGCAATGGGGTCTATGGGGCGCAATGGGGTCTATGGGGTTCCATGGCTATGGGGTTCCATGGCTATGGGGCGCAATGGGGTCTATGGAGAGCAATGGCGTCTATGGGGTTCTATGGCTATGGGGCGCAATGGGGTCTATGGGGTTCCATGGCTATGGGGTGCAATGAGGTCTATGGGGTTCCATGGATATGGGGCGCAATGGGGTCTATGGGATTCCATGGCTGTGGGGTGCAATGGGGTCTATGGGGTTCTGTGGCTATGGGGCACAATGGGGTCTATGGGGTTCCCTGGCTATGGGGTGCAATTGGGTCTATGGGGTCTATGGGGTTCCATGGCTATGGGGTGCAATGGGGTCTATGGGGTTCCGTGGCTATGGGGTTCCGTGGCTATGGTGTCTATGTGATCTATGGGGTTCCATGGCTATGTGGCACAATAGGGTCTGTGGGTTCCATGGCTATGGGGCGCAATGGGGTCTATGGGGTTCCATGGCTATGGGGTGCAATGGGGTCAAAGGGGTTCCATGGCTATGGTGTTCTGTGGCTATGGGGTTCTGTGGCTATTGTGTCTATGTGATCTATGGGGTTCCATGGCTATGGGGTTCCATGGCTATGGTGTCTATGTGATCTATGGGGTTCCATGGCTATGGGGCGCAATGGGGTCTATGGGGTTCCATGGCTATGGGGCGCAATGGGGTCTATGGGGTTCCATGGCTATGGGGCGCAATGGGGTCTATGGGGTTCCATGGCTATGGGGCACAATGGGGTCTATGGGGTTCCATGGCTATGGGGTTCCATGGCTATGGGGTTCCATGGCTATGGGGCTCAATGGGGTCAAAAGGGTTCCATGGCTATGGGGCGCAATGGGGTCTATGGGGTTCCATGGCTATGGGGTGCAATGGGGTCTATGTGGTTATGGGGGTTCCTGTGGCTATTGTTGTGATCTATGGGGTTCCATGGGGTGCAATGTCTATGCAATGGGTCTATGGGGTCTATGGGGTTCCATGGCTATGGGGCACAATCGGGTCTATGGGGTTCCATGGCTATGGGGTCTATGGGGTTCTGTGGCTATGGGGCACAATGGGGTCTATGGGGTTCCATGGCTATGGGGCGCAATGGGGTCTATGGGGTTCCATGGCTATGGGGCGCAATGGGGTCTATGGGGTTCCATGGCTATGGGGCGCAATGGGGTCTATGGGGTTCCTATGGGGCTATGGGGGCGCAATGGTTCCATGGCTATGGGGCGCAATGGGGTCTATGGGATTCCATGGCTATGGGGCGCAATGGGGTCTATGGGGTTCCGTGGCTATGGGGTGCAATGGCGTCTATGGGGTTCCATGGCAATGAGGTCTATGGGTTCCATGGCTATGGGGCGCAATAGGGTCTATGGTGTTCCATGGCTATGGGGTGCAATGGCGTCTATGGGGTTCCATTGCTATGGGGTCTATGGGGTTCCATGGCTATGGGGCGCAATGGGGTCTGTGGGTTCCATGGCAATGAGGTCTATGGTGTTCCATGGCTATGGGGCGCAATGGGGTCTATGGGGTTCCATGGCTATGGGGTCTATGTGATCTATGGTGTTCCATGGCTATGGGGCGCAATGGGGTCTATGGGGTTCCATTGCTATGGGGCGCAGCGGAACCCCCCAAATCCAGCCTTTCCTCCCCCCCCTTTCCCCTCTGCCCCACATCTCTAGGGCAGCAGCGCATGAAGCTCTATGAGCTCATCGTCACCGGGGCCTTCACCCCCCAGACCGTGCCCACGGGGGGCAAGGCGACGGGGGACACGGCGGAGGCGGTAAATGTGGGGCGGGACCCCCAAGTAGCCCCCCATAGGAGCCCCATTATGGTGTCCTGCCCCATAGAATCCCCATTAAGGGGTCCTGCCCCATAGAAGACCCATTATGGGGTTCCCCCCCAATGAAGCCCCATTATGGGGTTCCCCCCCATAGAAACCCCATTACGGGGTCCTGCCCCATAGAAACCCCATTATGGGGTTCCCCCCCATAGAACCCCCATTACAGGGCCCTGCGCCATAGAACCCCCTACTCCATATAGGCCCCACTTTGGGGTCCTGCCCCATAGAACCCCCATTACGGGACCCAGCCCCATAGAACCCCCATCATTAATCCCTACCCCATAGAACCCCCACTTTGGGACCCAGCCTCACAGACCCCCCATTACGTGTCCCCTGCCCCATAGAACCCCCTGCCCCATATAGGCCCCACTTTGGGGTCCTGCCCCATAGAACCCCCGTTATGCAGCCCCTGCCCCATAGAACCCCCACTTTGGGACCCAGCCCCATAGAACCCCCATTACGCGTCCCCTGCCCCACAGAACCCCCATTATGCATCCCCTGCCCCACAGAACCCCCTACCCCATAGAGGCCCCACTTTGGGGTCCTGCCCCATAGAACCCCCATTACGTGTCCCCTGCCCCACAGACCCCCCATTATGCATCCCCTGCCCCACAGAACCCCCTACCCCATAGAGGCCCCACTTTGGGGTCCTGCCCCATAGAACCCCCTACCCCATAGAGGCCCCACTTTGGGGTCCTGCCCCATAGAACCCCCTACCCCATAGAGGCCCCACTTTGGGGTCCTGCCCCATAGAACCCCCTACCCCATAGAGGCCCCACTTTGGGGTCCTGCCCCATAGAACCCCCATTATGCAGCCCCTGCCCCATAGAACCCCCATTACGCGTCCCCAGCCCCATAGACCCCCCTCTTTGCTCTCCCCCCCATAGCACCCCCATAATGTGTGGGGCTCGCCCCCTAACCCCCCCCGCCCCACCTCTGCCCCACTGCAGCCCCCCGAGCCCCACCGCCGCCCCTCCACTGAGAGCCCCTTTGCGGCGCCCCCCGGTAACGGCACCGCCGAGACCCCCGCGCCGCCAGGGGGCGCTGTCACCGACAGGGGCGGCTTCGGGCCCTTCCCGCCGCCCTTCGGCGCCCCCTACCCCAGCGAGGGCGCCCCCTATGGTGGCAGGTGAGTGGAGGACCGGGCGTTAGGGGTTCATTAATTAATGAGGGGTTATTAGTGATTGGTTAATTAATGAGCGCTTATTAATGATTGATTGATTAATTAATGAGGGGTTATTAGTGGTTGATTAATTAATGAGGGGGTATTAGTGGTTAATTAATTAATGAGGGGTTATTAGTGGTTAATTAATGAGGGGTTATTAGTGGTTGATTAATTGATGAGCGGTTATTAGTGGTTGATTACTGAGGGGTTGTTAGTGATTGATTAATTAATGAGCGGTTATTAGTGATTAATTAATGAGCGGTTGTTGCTGGTTAATTAATGAGGGGTTATTAGTGATTAATGAGCGGTTATTAATGATTGATTAATGAGCGGTTGTTAGTGGTTAATTAATGAGCGGTTATTAGTGGTTAATGAGCGGTTATTAGTGATTGATTAATGAGCGGTTGTTAGTGGTTAATTAATGAGCGGTTATTAGTGATTGATTAATGAGAGGTTGTTAGTGGTTAATTAATGAGCGGTTATTAGTGGTTAATTACTTAATGAGCAGTTGTTAGTGGTTAATTAATGAGCGGTTATTAGTGGTTAATTAATGAGCGGTTGTTAGTGATTAATTAATGAGCGGTTATTAGTGTTTAATTAATGAGCGGTTATTAGTGATTGATTAATGAGCGGTTATTAGTGGTTAATTAATGAGTGGTTATTAGTGGTTAATTAATTAATGAGCAGTTATTAGTGGTTAATTAATGAGCTGTTATTAGTGATTAATTAATGAGCGGTTGTTAGTGAATGATTAATTGGCAGTTATTAGGGATTAGTTAATGAGCGGTTATTAGTGATTAATTAATGAGCGGTTGTTAGTGATTAATTAATGAGCGGTTATTAGTGATTAATTAATGAGCGGTTGTTAGTGGTTAATTAATGAGCGGTTATTAGTGGTTAATTAATGAGCGGTTATTAGTGATTAATTAATGAGCAGTTATTCGTGATTAATTAATGAGGGGTTATTAGGGATTAGTTAATGAGCGGTTATTAGTGATTAATTAATGAGCAGTTGTTAGTGATTAATGAGCGGTTATTAGTGGTTAATTAATGAGCGGTTATTGATTGATTAATGAGCGGTTATTAGTGATTGATTAATGAGCGGTTCTTAGTGATTAATTAATGAGCGGTTGTTAGTGATTAATTAACGTGCGGTTATGAGTGATTGATTAATGAGCGGTTATTAGTGGTTATTTAATGAGCGGTTATTAGTGATTAATTAATGAGCGGTTGTTAGTGAATGATTAATTGGCAGTTATTAGGGATTAGTTAATGAGCGGTTATTAGTGATTAATTAATGAGCGGTTGTTAGTGATTAATTAACGAGCAGTTATTAGTGATTAATTAATGAGCGGTTGTTAGTGATTAATTAATGAGCGGTTGTTAGTGATTGATTAATGAGCGGTTATTAGTGGTTAATTAATGAGAGGTTATTAGTGATTAATCAACGAGCAGTTATTAGTGATTAACGAGCAGTTATTAGTGATTAATTAATGTGCGGTTATTAGTGGTTATTTAATGAGCGGTTATTAGTGATTAATTAATGAGCGGTTGTTAGTGAATGATTAATTGGCAGTTATTTGGGATTAGTTAATGAGCGGTTATTTGTGATTAATTAATGAGCGGTTATTAGTGATTAATGAGCGGTTGTTAGTGGTTAATTAATGAGCGGTTATTAGTGGTTAATTAATGAGCGGTTATTAGTGATTAATTAATGAGCAGTTATTCGTGATTAATGGGGGTCTGATTCATGTTACTGAGTGATTAATTAGTAATGAACGATTAATAATTGATTAATGCTGGATCTGTGATAGCTATTGGTTAATAGTGGATTAATAATGTTAATAAGTGTTAATTGCTTGATAATTAGTTATTATGATGAATAATTGGTTAATGCTTCGTCAATGATAGTGGTTATTAGTGGATTAATAATTGATTAATGTTAATAAGAGCTAATTGCTTAATAATTATTCATAGAACAATAATCGATTAATAATCAGTGATAGTGGTTAATAGTGGGTTAATAATTGATTAATGTTAATAAGTGCTACTTGCTTAATAATTATTTTTGAACAATTAATAATTGATTAATCCTCACTCAGTGCTAGTTAGTGGTTAATAGTGGATTAATAACTGATTAATGTTAATAAGTGCTAATTGCTTGATAATTAATTATCAATGAACGATGAATAAGTGATTAATGCTCAATCTGTGATAGTTGCTGGTTAATAGTGGATTAATAATTGATTAATTTTAATAAGTGCTAATTGCTTCATAATTAATTATTAGTGAACAATATCAGTGACAATTCCTGATTAATTATGGGTTAATAATTTATTAATAGCTGACTAAGGTTAATGAGTGATAATTTGCCAATTAATTAATAACATTGATTATTAACGACCGTTCCTGGTGATTAGCAGTCATTAATTAGCAGTTAACTCTAATAGGTTGTAAAGGGTAATTAGCGGTCCTTAATTAGCCATGAACTCTCATTAGTGGGTTATTAACGTCCATTCATGGTGATTAGCTGTCATTAATTAGCCATTAATTCTCATTAACGGCTCATTAACGGCAGTAATAGCGATCAGCGGTCATTAATTAGCCATTGATGCTCATGAATGGGTTATTAATGGGTGATTAGCGGACGTTCATTAGCCATTAACGCTCATGAATGTGTTATTGACGCTAATTAGCGGTCATTAATTAGCCATTAACCTCACAAATGGGTTGCTATCTGTAACTAGCGCTCATTAATTAGCAATTAGCCCTCATTTATGGGTTATTAATGTCTATTAACGGGTGATTTGCGGTCATCAATTAGCCATTAACCCTCATTAATGGGTTATTAGCGTCCATGATTTTCTGATTAGCAGTTGTTAATTAGCCATTAACCCAATTTCACGGGTTATTAACCTTCATTAGAGGTCATTAATTAGCCATTAACCCCAATTAACAGGTCATTAACGTTAATTAGCGGTCATTGAGTAGCCATTAACGGGTCATTAACGTTAATTATCGGTCATTAATCACCCATTAGCCCCCATTAACGGGTCATCAACGTTAATTATCGGTCATTTATCACCCATTAGCCCCCATTAACGGGTCATTAACGTTAATTATCGGTTATTAATATCCCATTAACCCCCATTAACGGGTCATTAACGTTAATTAGCGATCATTAATCACCCATTAGCCCCCATTAACGGGTCATTAACGTTAATTAGTTATCATTTGTTAGCCATTAACCCCAATTAACAGGTCATTAACGTTAATTAGCGGTCATTGAGTAGCCATTAACGGGTCATTAACGTTCATTATCGGTCATTAATTAGCTATTATCCCTCATTCACCTTCATTATCGTTCATTAATTACCCATTAACCCCCATTAACGGGTCATTAACGTTAATTATCGTTCATTAATTACCCATTAACCCCCATTAACGGGACATTGGCGTTCGTTATGGGTCATTAATTACCCATTAACCCCCATTAACGGGTCATTAGCGTTAATTACGGGTCATTAATCACCCATTATCCCCCATTAACGGGTCATTAACGTTAATTATCGGTCATTAATCACCCATTAACCCCCATTAACGGGTCATTAGCGGTCATTAGCGGTCATTAATTAGCCATTAACCCGCATTAACATTAATTATCGGTCATTAATCACCCATTAACCGGTCATAACTGTTAATTACGGGTCATTAATCACCCATTAACCCCCATTAACGGGTCATTAACGTTAATTATCGGTCATTAATCACCCATTAACGGGTCATTAACGTCAATTAGCGGTCATTAATCAGTCATTAACGGGTCATTGACGTCAATTATCGGTCATTAATCACCCATTAACGGGTCATTAACGTTAATTATCGGTTATTAATCACCCATTAACGGGTCATTAACGTTCATTACGGGTCATTAATCACCTATTAACCCCCATTAACGGGTCATTAACGGCCATTAGCCGTCGTTAATTAGCCTTTAACCCTCATCAACTTTAATCAGCGGTCATTAATCACCCATTAACGGGCTATTAACGTTAATTAGGGGTCATTAATCACCCATTAACCCTCATTAACGGGTCATTAACGTTAATTTTCGGTCATTAATCACCCATTAACGGGTCATTAACGTTCATTACTGGTCATTAATCACCCATTAACGGGTCATTAACGTTAGTTATCGGTCATTAATCACCCATTAACGGGTCATTAACGTTAATTGCGGGTCATTAATCACCCATTAACCCCCATTAACGGGTCATTAACGTTAATAGTCGGTCATTAATCACCCATTAACGGGTCATTAACTTTCATTACGGGTCATTAATCACCCATTAACCCCCATTAACGGGTCGTTAACGTCAATTATAGGTCATTAATCACCCATTAACGGGCTATTAACGTTAATTAGGGGTCATTAATCACCCATTAACCCCCATTAACGGGTCTTTAACGTTAATTATCGGTCATTAGTCACCCATTAACGGGTCATTAACGTTCATTATCGGTCATTAATCACCCATTAACGGGCCATTAACGTTAATTAGGGGTCATTAACGGGTCATTCCGTTCCATTGACGCCCCTTTCCCCCCCCCTCCCCCAGGCTCCCGTTCGCCTCCCGCCGCCTGGAAGCCGGGGGGGGCTTCCCCCGCCGCGCCCCTCCCCCCCCCCCCCCCTCCCCCCAATCCGGCGCCTTCCTCCCTTACGCTTATTCCCACGCCCCCCCTCCCCCCCTCTCCCCCTCCCCCTCCCCCCGCCGCCGCCGCCCCGCCCCCCGCGACGACGACTCCGCCCCTCCCCCTCCTCCTTCCTCCTCCTCCTCCTCCTCCTCCCCCGCCCCTCCCCCCACCACCCCCCCCCCCCCGGGCGCTTCCCACCCCCCCACCTCCCCCCCACCCCCACCTCCCCCCCGCCCCCCCTCCCCCCTCCTCCTCCTCCTCCTCCCCCCCCCACCCACCTCGACCCCTTCCCCCTTTCCACCGAGCCCCCTCCCCGCAGCCCCTCCCCCACTCCGTCGCCCCTCCCCCACCCACGGGGGGTGGGGGTTGGGGGGGGGTCCCCCACCCCCGAGGGCACCCCCGAGAGCGTCCCCTTCGCCCAACACAGCAGCCTCGACTCCCGCATCGAGGCCCTCTTAAAGGAGCAGCGCTCCACTTTCTCCTTCCTCCCCCCCCCCGAGGAAGAGGAGGAGGAGGAGGAAGAACGGGGGGGGCACAAAGAGGGGACCCCCCCGCACCCATCCCCCCAAGTCCCTCTCGCCTCCGTCCAAGCTGCGCCCCAAAAAGAGGAAGGGGATGAAGGCCCCCCCCCCTCCTCCATCATCATCATCACCACCGCCACCACCACCACCCCCCCCCCACCACCACCACCGCAGGCTAAAGGGGATGGGGACCCCCCCGTTGCACCCCCCCAAGTGCAAGGAGGGGGGGATGGAGGAGGGGGGGGCGAGGAGGGAGCCCCCCCACATCGCAGTGGGGGGGGGAGGATGAGGGAGGGGACCCCCCCGTCGCCCAAGGCCAATGGGCAGGAGAGGGTGAGTGAATGGGGGGGGCAGGGGGGGGGTATGGGGTGGTTATGGGGGTCAATGGGGGGGCTATGGGGTGGTTATGGGGGTTAATGGGGCGGGGTTATGGGGGTCAATGGGGGGGTTATGGGGGTCAATGGGGGGGTTATGGGGTGGTTATGGGGGTCAATGGGGGGCTTATGGGGTGGTTATGGGGGTCAATGGGGGGGCTATGGGGTGGGGGGGTTATGGGGGTCAATGGGGGGGCTATGGGGTGGTTATGGGGGTTAATGGGGCGGGGTTATGGGGGTCAATGGGGGGGTTATGGGGGTCAATGGGGGGTTATGGGGTGGTTATGGGGGTCAATGGGGGGGTTATGGGGTGGTTATGGGGGTCAATGGGGGGGGTTATGGGGTGGTTATGGGGGGGTTATGGGGGTCAATGGGGGGTTATGGGGTGGTTATGGGGGTCAATGGGGGGGGCTATGGGGTGGTTATGGGGGTCAATGGGGGGGTTATGGGGGTTAATGGGGGGGTTATGGGGGTCAATGGGGGGGTATGGGGTGGTTATGGGGGTCAAGGGGGGGGTTATGGGGTGGTTATGGGGGTCAATGGGGGGGTTATGGGGGTCAATGGGGGGGTTATGGGGTGGTTATGGGGGTCAATGGGGGGGTATGGGGTGGTTATGGGGGTCAATGGGGGGGTTATGGGGTGGTTATGGGGGTCAATGGGGTGGTTATGGGGGTC